GTGTCTCAAATATGAAATAGGACTTGATCTCTAATTTTTTACGAGGATACATAGGATCCCTATACAGGGTGAGTCTTGAATAAGTGAAAATATTTTAAGGGGCAGTACATTTTGACCCCAGAAACACGATTATTAGTTTTTTTCGTGAAAAAAAATTGAAAATTTGGATTTTTTAGTTTTTAGTCAAAAAACATAATTTTTTGACAATATAGCAGTATAGGTAGTAGATTAAATTTACAAGAAAGAAACTCCAGAAAAGATCCAGTGGTTCGGTTACTTTGGCTTAATTTTTTTTTTAATTTTCATAGTACAATAACTGGGTTATTTTGGACTTCTTCGAAAAACGGTAAAAAGAAAATATATTTCTTTTATCGAGATCTACCAACCCTGAAAATATTTGCACTTATTTAAGACTCACCCTGTATAACACAAATAGGTATATCAAGATTCAGAAATTCAGTAGTTTTGTTTTTAAAATGATATCTAAACTGCATTGAAATGTCCTGTATTATAGAAAATCTTTTACGACAAATCGAAATTTCAGGAAATTTTTATTTCCGTCAATTGTAATTAGGTGATATTTTTTTCGGGCATCCATCTTTTCGGGTAATTTTCATTCGGCCAACTGATATTCCAGTGACAACGAATGAAACGTTTTATTAAAATACTAGCGTGTACCAGCGACTTCGTTCGCGTCGAATTAATCATTTGTAATGGTGATGATAAAGCAAAGCAAGAATTTCCATTAACATACAAACTGGATAAAATTTTCTCACATTTATGTCAGCATGAGAAAAAACAATATGGCGATATTATTATATAACTTGATAATATTTGAAGGGTAGTTTCATCTCGTTGGAATTTGACTTTCGAAAAATCCGTTTGCCAAAAATAAGCTTTTTACGTCAAGCAGTTTAAGCAGAATCGTGGTTAAGAAATTACCCAACTTTTTGGAACACCCTGTACGATTTTTTAAAAAATTTCAAAATATGTAAAAACCTAAATAAATTATGTTTGCCCAAGCGTTTTCCCGAAAGACTAACCGTTTTTTAAATAACAAATATTGTAATATTTGAGGAGCGTTTTCACCCTCTTGGAATTTGAGATTCGAGAAACCCCTCCTTATCGAACCTCTGCACCCCACAGTCAATCCGTTTGCCAAAAATCAGCTTTAAACATCAAGCAGTTTAAAGCAGAATCGTGATTACTCAATGGTCATATTTTTATGAAACACCCTGTATAAATTTATAAAAATCTTAAAATATGTAAAACAACAAAATAAAATATACGTGTTTAAGAGTTTTTTCCGAAAAACTCACCGGTTTTTAAATAAAAAATATTTTAATATTTGAAGAATAGTTTCACCCTCTTAGAATTCGAGTTTCGAAAAATCCTTTCTTATCGAATCTCTACACCCTATAGTCAATCTGTTTTCCAAAAATCAGCTTTTTACGTCAAGCGCTTTAAGCAGGATCGTAATTAATCAATGACCAGATTTTTCGAAACACCCTGTATACATTTATAAAAACTATGCTTACATTTTTGCTCTTTACTATCAAAAGCAGATAAATTTTCGTGGACCCCCATTAACATCTTATGGACCCCCATTTTTTGTTCACGCCTACGTAGACCCCCAGCAAGTCTCCCGTGGACCCCTGGGGGTCCACCTGGACCACTTTGGGAATCACTGCTCTACACCTTAGAATCAATCTGTATGCCAAAATTGAGCTTCTTACGTTGAGGGGTTTGAGCAGGATCGTGATTAATCAGTATGTCAGGCACTTAAGGATTTTATATATTAGTATAGGTAGATGTTTCACTTATACTAACTTTTCCCTCAAAATTTCATTCGAATCGCTAAAAGCACTTCAAAGAAAATTAAAATAAATCGAAAAAAAAATTGAAGACTTTAACCCCCTGTAGCTACGAAACAAAGTAGAATCGGACCTATGTTGATATAAAAAATAAATATTGATTTTACGTGGGAAATCACATCCTCACAAAAGATTAGGCATGTGTTTTGAGACCCTGTATGTATTGATAGGTGTCCTGAAAACGGTTTATGACTATAAAAACCGTGACCTTAAATCGATTGATTCATTTTATAAATAGGCTAAAAATAAATGAATAAAATACCCTTTATTATATTTGGCTTACTAATAATATACGGCCTACATCGTAACACAATTCATAATAATTTCTATTTGCTATCATTATGCTAAAGATCTACTAAAATACGAGTATTGTCTCCATTAAATATTGATTAGTAAATATTAAACAAATAATAACTACAAAAAGCACCAAAATGAGAAAAACAAATAAAAGCCGAGAAACAACAAACAAAGGCAACACTAGATGATTTATTATTAATTTCAAAATTCGATTTTTACTATGCATACTTACATATTATTACGATTGAAGTATTATAACCTGATATTTAATGTTTCAATTTCCCTTTCTCGCGTTTTGTTTGTAAGGTCGTAATCGATACCAACGGCATGGCATAATAATAAAATTATAATAGACTGAAGAAAATGAAAGAAAATTTGGACCGTTTTCCTTTAATTTAGATTGATATCTTTCTTAAATGCTTTAATATTTTTCGTGCCCACTTAACACTTCATAAATATTGCTTTATATTTAATGGTTTTATTTTCTCTATTGGACAACACCAATTAAATACATTGCTTGTAGTAAATTTCCATGTCATAATTAATAAACTTACATTAATAGAACAAATTAGTTAAGTGTTTTATCGTATGTTTTGAATTAGGGACCAACAGAATCCGTAACAATTTGTGGCAGAACTGGGATATCAAAGGAGTTTTAAATTTTAAGAAGAAATTAATTGGATTTTGAAGCTTTGACCGGATTTGAGAATGTTTATGGATGGGGCAAGAGAAGAAAATGGAGGAAGTAAGCAAATTATTAAGAGATTTCATAGAAAATATGAGAAAAGAGAAACCAGAGGAACAAGAAAGACTAGGTAAAGAACAAGAAAAGTGAGCCCGATTAGAAAAAGAAAAGGAAGAAGAAAAATTACTACATCAATAAGAGCAAAACCGCCGACAAAAAGTCAAGAAATTAGACAAGAACGGCTGAAGAAAATTTTTGAAGATTTAGAAGGCTTAGAAAGAGACGTAACAACATCGTGAAGACTCGAAGACTGTGGCCAGTGGTAGATAACAAAAAGACAAAAACTACTAGAGCACAAAAAGAACCTAATAAATAATTGTAGGTGTCGTCACTGGAAACTGCCCCACAGGGGTAAACCAATCTTAAGTGTTTTATAGTGTGTTTTGAATTAAGGACCCACGGAATCCGTAACAATTTGTGTCAGAAGTGGGATTTTAAAGAATTTTTATATTTTAAGAAGAAATTAAGTGGATTTTGAAGATTTTAGACCGGATTTGAATTTTTATGGTTGGGGAAAAAGAACAAGCAAAGAAAATGCAGGAAGTAAGCAAATTATTAGGATATTTTATGGAAAATATAAGAAAAGAGATACGTAAAAAAGGAAAAGAGCGAGCTCGATTAGAAAAAGAAAAGAAAGAGGAAAAATTACGTCATCCAGAAGAACAAGACCTCCTACAGAAAATTCTAGAAAATCTAGAAATTAGACAAAGACGGCTGGTGAAAATTGTTGAAGGTTTAGAAGGTTTAGAAGCGCATCATCAGAGAGAAAATCAAGATAAATACGAAATTACCCGAAAAAACATGTGCTTGAATTAGAAAATGGAGTGCTAAAATCAATTAGAAACTTTAAGATATTAAAAAAAATTGGCGCAGGGAGGCACGTATACGTATAGCCGCCCATACTAAAATATGTTAATAAAAAGTTGGTAGGCAGTTCCTTTGGTTTCAATTATCTCAAAAACTGCGACTTTGACTGATTTTGATGTTATTACAAATTTTGTTGCAAATATTATTCCTAATCTTAAATTGAAAACCGCGTTTCACTAGCTACTGTAATTTTGGAGTTACAATTTTTTCAAATTTTTAACCACCTCCCATACCCCCTTACCAACCCCCCACCACACCAAAAACTAATAGCCAGATTCTCGGGTGCCACAGTATTTTTGTGCCAAATTTGGTTAAAATCGGTTTAGCGGTTTTTGAGTTATCGTGTTACAGACAGACGGACAGACAGACAGACAGATAAGATACCTCCAAGACGTAAAATGATGATAGAAATTTCTATCTATAAATATCACATCTTTCTTCTTGACTGCACACTTCATTTAATGGATTGAAAAGTGACAATTTAGTTTACAATTAATACTCCGATCTCTAATCTGAAAAAATGTCACTTTCTAGCGAAAAGCCTGCACTTACCGATAAATCCAACTAAATTACTAGTTAAGTCTATTACGCTGTACTGTTCGGATCGCTCTTAGGGAACGGGAAGCGGGTGTATGGCCGAAGGAACTACATATTTCAGAAATCTGCCTAAGGTTTAGCCCGATCCTGTCGTGTTAAGCCATACCCAAAATTCCAAACACACGTTCTTTGAATAAGGATTGATTAAGGTTTGCAAAGCTTTAGCATTTGCCGTAAAATAGCGAGCAATTTATTACAAAACCATATAAATTATATATCACTGTAATCACAAAACTTAAATCTAGTTCAGTATTATAACGAAATTTTAAATTATGTCTTTATTTTCGAGAAAATTTAGTCCAAACATTCAGAAATATTTTGTTGATGTTTGATTATCAAAATCTTAAAAATAAAGAAGTTGTCTAAAAATGTGCTACAATACGGATATAATATAATCCTTCATCTTTAATTTCCTTCTTCATTTGTGTAAAAATACCTATAGCCAGTTTTACATAAAACGTTAAATGCCCAACGCTTATTTTGCTACTTTTTCGGATTACAAACCAAACCAAACTGCTTTATGAAAGTTATTATTAATAACAATAAATCATCCAGCGTTGCCAACACTACTACCACCACCTCCCGCACCAACACCATCCACACGTTCCTCCATAACCTACCTGCTTGCTGCCACGACCACGGCTCTTCTTCCGGTACCACCCACCTGTTCCAGAAGCGGTTCCCTCTTCTCCCTGACTGGTGTTGCGGCAACGCTCAGCCCCAAGACCCTTTTCAGGCCGTCCAGCAGCCCCGGGACGGCCACCGTGCCCGTGGTGGGGCGGTACACGTTCTCCGTGGCCCCCCTGGACAGGGAGGCGTACGCGCCGCTGCCCTGCACTGCGGCAGCCTTCATGCTGCCCACCTAGAATAGGCCTGCGGACACGGGCCGATGTATGTGTATGTACAGGGTGGGGAAGTTCAGCCGAATGGGGGTTAGTGAGGGAATATAGTAGTGAGACACGAAAGAATACCATATTATGAGGCTCAAGGCTAGTCCACTTTAAACAGAGGGAAAAGGCTTATTCTGCCTCCAGTATCGCGTTAAGATAAATTGGTTCAGGCAATTGGGACGGCCGGTAAAGACATCATCAAGAAGCGCATTTATCTGTGACTATGTGTGTTTTCTTTGAATACATTCTCTTTTTCTGTGTTTTCTTTGAATATTGTTTATTAATCGAGTGATCAAAAAGCCGCACTTGCTCCCTATTAAAATTGTACAGTTCTTTTCGCATGACAGAGATTAATGACTAAACGAATGTTCGCACGATTTTTATAGATCGCGAAATATTCGTAAAAATAGTAAAAATAACGCGCGACAAAAGCCGGGAGCGCGCGCTGCGTGTTCGCGTCGCAGCGCACCATTGTAAACGCACCTTTAGATTTCCTTTTCAGTGGCCAAATACCCAACTTATTTCTAGAAATGTCGCAACAGTATAGATATTATTACCAATTTCTGTGTTATGAAGTGTATATGTTAAGCTTATCGGTTTTCCTGCATCCCACACTATACATATTATGATAAAAGTTCCCTAAAAATTTGAATAAATTTAATTTTCAGGGAATGAATATTTGAAAACGGTAAGGAAGCCTTGTTCCACTTATAAGACCTCACTTAGAATGCCCATTGAGTTTAAAACTACTTTACCTAAGAGTATCAGGTAGTTATACTTAGATTTAGAACATATTCCCAAAAATTCACCTATCGAAAAAATACCAGTCAGTTTCTTTAAAAGGTTAAAAGCTTACAATAACCACACAATTTCATAAATTACTTAAAGAAAGAACTTTTATTAATAACTTAACCAAACCAAACTTTATATTAGTTGTTTCTTTAACATTTTTTTCTTATTTCTTATTTCTTTTTCTCTATAATTTCATCTTCGCTTTTTTTTTAGTCGGGATATCTTATAAAAATAAAAGTTTTCTAATTTTTCCCGGAAATTTTTTATATCGTATATTTATTTACGTTACTTTCCAATAAAATTTTCCGTATTTATTCAATCCAAATTTGCCTGTGGAGGCTAGAAGCTAATGTAAATAAATGTAAAATATTTTGTTTGAAATAAAATAATTATTTCAGCTCTAAAACATAATACAAAAAGTTGTAAATGTAACTAAATATTTATATTAGAGCCTAAAGCCCCATCTACACATAGCGCTTTACCTGTTAGTCTTACCTGTTCAAACTTAACCCGCCTTAAAATTTTATCTGTCAGGTAATAATTTATGTCTAGACGGGGCTAAGACAAAAGGCCGTGTCTAGAGATCTACAGAAAGAAGTTCCGTCACTGCCGTCAACTATCAGTATCTACTAAACAGACCGGTAAAATGTTGTGTAGATGGGACTTTATCCGTATATAAAGTTTTAATATTAAAATATATGAAACGGGTTTCTGAAAAAAAAATGTAAAAAAAGGATATAAAATCGTTTCAATCTAGTTAGTAATGTATAGTATGTACTTTAATTCAACCTAATTTAAATTTAACTAAGTAATAGTTAACCTATAGTTTATGTTATTTTAGAATTTCTGTTGTTACTTTAAATTAACATTTTGACTACCTAATTCTACAATATACAAACCAAACCGTAAGTTAAATCTAGTATTTTTACTAAAATTGTCTACCAAGTTTGAGAACAAACATAAAATGTGTAATTAATTTTAAGTTTGTAGTTGTGCCACAATTATTAAGTGTCAGAGTACCTATCTTTTTGGGTAATAATAAGTTTGTATGTAACAACTCTAAAATGACAATCACACTTAATTTAAAATACCAGTACTACCCAATAAATCCCTCAAGTGTATAAATTCATAAATTGTAATATTCTCCTACCTAAACGAAATTTTAATTCAAGATTAGGTATATTTAATTATGATTAAAACAAATATCAGTTCTAATAAGTAGTTTCTCTAAATGGGCATTCTACACTCGGCTGAACTTCAACATTAAAATTTGAAAAACTGAAAACATTCATGCCAAAAATTTGAACCTGCTGATCAGATAGTTACCTAAATATCATATTATTTAACATCTTCAATGGATGCGGTTTGGTGAGTTAAGTGAAATCGGTTAAAACTAGATTTACACCAGATTCAGTTGGTGGAAATAAAACGCAATATTTTCCTCCGAATTAATGAAGAAAAATTGTTTACAAAATACCAATTGATCTGGGACATAAAATACAATAAAAGTAGGTACTAAATCTATTCATAAGATTTTTTCATGAAAATTATTTAGCAACAAAATCACTGATTCTTTTTTAACTCAGCAACTTCAAAGAAATAAGTATAAAACAAAAAACATAAAAAAGGGACTTGAACATGCTATTGCAAGGTTACATTTTGTAAATCAGCCGCCAGATATTAAAAACAAACAATGCTATTAAACAATAAACTATAATTGTTTATAACTAGCGCAAATACGTAACGAATGAAACAAATTATGTTCGGAAACATTTTTAAGTATACACCATCTATTTCTAATAGAAAATAGCTAACTTATTTCCCTGTAACTCATGATATTGATTTTTCCTAATACATTCTGAACGACAACTCCCAAAATATGAATAATATACCCAAAAAACACTAAGATAATACTACTTAATCATTAGAGCTTACCTAAACTATCTTAAGAAACTGTTTATTTCAAGTTTTGTGATTTTTCTCGGGTAAAAACGCTCAGAGAAGTTCTTCAACGGCGAGGTACAATCGAAACTGACGTTTATCTACTGATCTACTTCGTCAACTGTCAAATGCAACCTGCTTTTTGATTGGTGATTCACTTGTCAGGCGGTCAAAAATGGCATTGAATAATTTAAATTTACTAAAATTATTTTGTTTAAAAAAGTTCTATGCAATTTATTTGGTTCTGTTTATTTTCTACTAAAATAGCAAAGATAATTTCTTGTATCTCGATAAGCCTACGACGTTGTCATGTTTATACATTCTACAAAATCATTAAAAAAAGTCATTTTGATTTGCCTCATATACACATAAAATTTTATATTAATAATTTCCAACTATATCACTTAAAAAGAACAACAAATATAGCTAGAAAATAATAAATAAAACATTAAAAATAAATTAGTTTTGCGTTACTGGCAACCTCTGATGTGATTTATTGGGATATCGATCAGCGCTAGTACATGTGGCGACATCTGTACCCTGAATCAGAGACTAGGTAAAGGGAACCTAGAAATCTAAAAAGGTATTAAAGATCAGTTCTAGATATTGTGTATAGATGGCAACATAGTATTAAAAGGTATTCAAAAATGCATATTATTATTATTTTATGAGCTTTGATATTATGAAAATACTTCTTGAGTAATAATTAATATGCAATATATTTTCTTGTTATTTTATCATTTTGAGTTTGTACAAAAACTGAATTTAATAAAGGAGTTTTATTTAATGTTTCGTACGCACTACAATTAATTTAGATTTTTAAATTAAGACGTTAGAAATAAAAATATAACTGAAAATATAATAAATAAATTAGTTAAATTAGGAAGATATTTTTAATTTTCAATGAAATTATTTCTGCAAAAAAAAAACAAAAAAATGTGTGGCCCATGAGGGGATCGAACCCGCGACCTTCGCGTTATTAGCACGACGCTCTAACCAACTGAGCTAATGGGCCAGATGACAAAAGTTACCTTTTGGTAGGTGATATAACAAGGAAAATTTTATTATGTTCTATTTTAAATTTTGTTACGGGAGCTATACAAGATAGGCATAATATTAAATTTAAATTTAAATGTGTATTGCTCGAAAATTTATTACATTTATAGCTTTTATTATTGTGTAGTAGCATCCAGCAATTCTAGTATCTACTAATGAATAAGGGCTCCAAAAGTAGGTAGATCTATCTACCTATTTTATATGCTACAATACAAAAATCGAAAATCTAAGAAAGTTTGAATGCTTATTAAGCAAAAACTAGATGGATATAAAGCGGAAAAGGGTGAATAAAATTAAACCAAAACAGTCTCAATAGTGTGTGATTCCTCGATAAAAAACGAAATAAACTTGAAATGTTTTAGGGGATGCGATGAGGTAGGACAGTGGCGGATACAGCGGGGGGACCATCGGGCCCCCCCCCCCTCTAAAATCTATAAATTGGGTTAAATATTTGCCTTTTTGGTTAAAAATGGCGCCTAAAAAACATATTCTACATTACTTTTTATTTGGGCCCCCCCCTAAAACAAATTTCTGTATCCGCCCCTGAGATAGGACCTGTAGATGATACAACACGCAACACGAGAGTTTGGAGTAACAAATAATGTGCACATCACAACACATCAACAACTTTTCACATCACTTTACATAATCGTACGATATTATTAAATATGTTTTAATAAGTATAGTTTAAGAAATATTAATAAATAAATAAAAATATGTTTTACGCCTACGTTAAAAAAACATATTAAAAATACAAGAACCTGTCCTGAAATAAAAACTACTAACTAAAGTAGTAAACTAAGGTACCTATATTTACTACAGTTGGTCTGTACTTACTTGGGTATAAATATCGTAATCTTAGGTCATACAGGGTGTTCAAAATTAGAGAACGTACCCATAATGCAAAGCAAATGTATGTAAATATTGTTAATAAAAAAAAGTTTTTGGGATAACCTCAGAATATTACCGTCACTTTTTTCTGTTTAATTTCTACAATGAAAAAAAAACATATAAAACGAAAAAACTAACATTGTACTAGATTTTTTAAACATAATATGACATACAAATAACTAACATACCAAATTTAATTTTTTTTTATAAAAAAAATAAAAAAGTTAGAGGGGCGAACCATTCTTGAGAAACATTATAATTGTGGTCCTAGAAAATAATATACTTTCTCTATAAATAAATAACATCAGAGAAAAAAAAAACAATCTCAATTGACTATAAAATGCTTCAATAGACGAAAAAATTATACATTCACAACAATAACGCAAATCGGAACTCCTAAAAATTCAAACTCGCGTATAGAGTTTACAAAATCACAATCGCAGCAAAATCGCAAATCGCAACAAAGCTGCAAATCGCAGCTATATACCAGTAATACTGGTTGTCTATATTGAAACTTGCAAATAGAAGAAATCTTAATCGTAGTTTTCTATGAGAGCCAATCGCAGGTTGCGATAGCGATTTTAAAATCGCTGCAGTTGGATCGGAGTTTGCGATTTATTGCTCATCTCTACTATTAAGCAGGGGTGGATGGCCCATATGGGAAAACGGGAAAATTCCCGGTGGGCCGGTGGAAAGATGGGCCGGTGGGCCGGTCCCGATCAGAGCCCAAAAAAGATTGTATTAGCAATTGCTTTTATACATAAACACCAATTTGTAAAATAACTATTATAAAATGTCTTTCTTTGAGACACTTATAATTTTAATAATCATCTGTTGTTTGTTCGGTTTGAAAATTTTTATTATACAAGGTGAGTCTATAAGTGCAAATATTTTCAGGGCTGGTAGATCTTAATAAAATAAACATAATATATTCTCTTTATCGAGTTTCAAAAAAGTCCTATCGAGTTATTAAAGTTTGGAAATTGAAAAAAAAAATAGATTTATTTTTTAAAAAAATTGAGCCACCTTCGGTATTTGCATTTCTTTTAGTGCCGTAATATCAGAGATTAAGAAACTACACCGTAGGGGAAAATTTGCGCTGAACAGGAAGTTCTAAAACGTTTTCTAAAATATACAGGAAAATTTAAAAGAAAAGCTCGATTTTTAACATCTATTTTTGTAAAAAAACTCATAGACGAGTTCCTGGGGTCGAAATATATACCACCCCTGAAAATATTTGCACTTATATGACTCACCCTGTATAGTTTTGCCCACTATTCTTTTATTAATAACTAGACTGGCAGCAAAAAAAAAGAATGAATAGCATTAGGTAAATTTAAATAGTCTCGATCTAAATGTATACTAAGAATACGGTAGCGTAGATTGACAACTGGGGGCCTCGGTGCAATATTTTTCGAGCTCCCCTTTGTAAAAAAGTAGACGAATTTGACGCGAACTCTGCGGTTGACGGAGAAAACATATCTATACTTGGTTTGAATTGGGGACGGACTGGAAAGCCAAGTCTGAGAACTAAAAGCCAAGTCTAAATTGTTGTTTAAAATGTTGCTAAAATGAATTTTTAAAAAATTACTGAGACAGTAGAGAAGAGAAGGTTTAAACTAGATTAGATAATAAAATATTAATATGTCTCGAAAATCCAAATATTCTTATTATGGAGTGTAACAACATTACATGAGAACAAATTTATATCCGCTGGCTAGGTATTGCCTAGGTTTTTTTCGTTTGAGTCATGGCATTATTATACAAGATGCCAAATGTAGAAAAGTATAGAGGAAAAGTTTCGTGATAAGAACTATATAATAACCTAAAAAATGCTGCAGTTTTAATGCCGACCTCATTCAGTTAAAAACACGTGTACATGGGGAGGCTGCGGCTGTAGCAGAAAAGAGAGAATTTCTTTCTACAATGTGTAAGAAGTATATACCCGAAAAGCTAAAAGTAATGCATTTCACAGAATATTGGGTCAGCTGAATAGAATGATCAGGAAGTCTTATATTGTTTCAAAATCGTGACTCAAAATCGTAGCCTATTCAAGATCAAATTACCGTTATCGATAATGGAAATAAAGTAGTAGAATCCTGTAAAACTGAGCCATTTTGTAGTAAAAATTCAGATATCCGACCCAATATTGGTCTTTACGAAAATTTTGATCAAGACGATTTATTTTTATTTTTAAAACCGGAGACAAAAGAGCTTTTTCGCACGAGCGAAAAACACCCTTACTTATATATTAATAAATAAAATATGTTTCTTCGTTATGGTCATTTTGTTTTTGTGGATTTGGGCCGGTTGCCTGTTTTTCCCGGGCCGGTTCCACTTCCCCATCCACCCCTGCTATTAAGCGATCGGATGAAAGCGCGTTACGATCTCAGATCTAACTCTACGGGTTTTCAACGGTTTATGCCACTGCTTTTATCACTCTAAACCAGCTCCGAAACCAAACCGACCCGTTTTTTACCTCCAATCCTTAGCACCACCACGATCGACTTCCTCCTGCCATCGGCCCGCCGTATTTATGGCCGGCAGGGCACAGGCACACAGGTTAAACGGCAGATTGGAAGTTGGATGGGGGGAGTGTGGGAAGGGCTCCTGGGGGAACACTTCCCGATTTTATTACGGGAGAAACGGGCGATATGTATGGAGAAATCGCGCGCCCGAGTAGGCAAGGTGATGGACGGGCAGGTGAAGAATGCGGTGGGAGAATAAAAATGTGTTGATTTTGCATGAGGTTGAGCGAGGATATAGTTTAAAATGTACTGCATTCCTGACAATTTTAATGTAATAAGTATGTAGTTATAAAGATTTTAATTTGATTAGATCCGATTAATAGAAAACTGCTGGTACGGTGGATGGTAGGTACTGTTAGTAGTTCAAGAGACCTTTCTCAGAGTGCAAACTCAAAAATCTGGAAGACTACATCCGTAACCTGACTAAGGACACTCTAAGGACACTCCAAATGAATCAGTAGTTTGTAATTTGTAACACATAATGAAGGTAAATTTTATTTTAATATTATGACCAAGATCACTTTTCTGAGTGATCAGTCTGAAGATGAAAGCTACATGATATCTAAAATTTTCGTTATCCATCACTATTAGAGAAAAAAGTACTTTTTTAAACACCAAGGAGATTAAAATCGGATCATCCAAAAC